CTGTTTAATTATTTGCAGGTTATCAAGTCAAAGGGTGGAAAAGAATCTGAAACAGAGTACTTTGCAGCTCTGGTAAATTAAATGTATTTTGATTCTCAGCCTACATTTGAGATTATGGCAAATTCTTCCATATGGCCTTGACAATGAACCCTTATTTACAAGGATGCTACAAGCGTGTTGTCCAGGTTACATAAATTAGTCTAGTATCAGTCTAGTATCAGTGCTGTATTTCCTTTTATGATAGTTCAAAAATTACACTACATGTACATCAAGGATACCTGCTCTTTGAAGTTTTGTCCTTCATATAGGTAAGAACTCTGTCTCCTAGGGGTAATCATTAATAGCAATGTATTTGTTTCCTTCTTTTTCTGTAGATGACTGCTTTAGAGTCAGCTGATGAATTGGAAGCAATTACTGCAATTACATTTCTTTTGAGTCTGGTTATTAAAAGGTACAAAAAATGTACTGCTATTCATTGTATTATTTAAGAAACATTTATTTCATGTACATGTAAATGTAGATGTACCTTTGATATACATGTAGGTGAGTACACTATTTCTATACATTGTATGTACAATCCCATGTTAAGAAGGGGATTAGTTCAAAAATTAGCACAAAAATATTGGTTGCCATGGTTCACACAATTTGCCCAAGAAAGGATCTAGGCAAAGCACTGCACATACGTGTACTACTAGATACATGTAAATTGCTAGCTAACATGTCAAACTATGCATATTAAAAAAATAGAAATTAATTATTACATAATTTTGTCTTTTCATAATTATTTTTATATAGTGTCCCTGATGGCATTCTTCAAGCCAAGTTCTCTAAGTCTTGTCAAGTTCTTGTCACAATCCTGGCATCTCATGCTGCAGATGGCACACCAGGACTGCTTAGACCTGTAAGTTGTCACAAAATCACCAAATCAATAGACATTACTTTGTACATGTAGTTCTGGCATTACTTCACCACCATTTCTTTCTCCTGAGCATGTTTTAAGGGACTGGCATGTACATGTACATCTACACGTACAATCTACTCTTGAAAACAATACTTAATTCTAATGATACTTTCTCTTGTTGTTGCCCCAGCTACTTGCCTGTTTGTGCAGGTTGCTTAGTGTTCAAGAAGGAGCTGTTTGGTCAGAATCATCAACAATGACAACTTTCAATGGATTACTGAGCTTTGTGGTACATAGTAAACCGAAGGTATGCTTGGTGGGAATTTTAATTCTCCATTGTTAAAAAATTTTCTTGTGATACAGGAACTCACTGTGAATTGACTGATCATTGGATTAGAGCCACACATGTATGTATGTGTAGTGGTCTCTGGAATGATAAAATTCATGTACATGTATAGCTGTATGTGTGCAGGTTGTCTGCTTGCCATCTCCCTTTTCTCTGTTTCCATTACAGGTTCGCAAAGCAGCACAAGAAGCTGTAACGCTGCTGTTAAAGAAACCACCAGGTGACATGCAACATCATCCAGCATCAGCAACAACGGCTAAGTTCTGTGTTCAGCAAATTGAAGAACATGGAGGTAAGGGGCCAGGTCTCAGTGATCCCCAGAGATCCAGGGGCAGATATTCTGGGCAAGAGGAAGTCAATGGGTCAAAGTGGTACAAACCAAAGTTTACAAGAGTGAATGACTGATCTTGTAAAGTTTTGTTTGCACCACTTTTTTCCTCCCGACCCGACTACCTGCCCTGCGCCCTGGGTCTCCGAGAATGAGGGGATCTGATTGAACAATATTCCTGATTGAGTGGTATATGTATTTTATTAGCCATGCACTGACTTTTCTTTATTGCATATTAGTGCATATTTTCTTTAGTGCATATGAACATGATGTCTCCAGATGTTGTTTTCTTGATTTCTTTTATTTATTATTTTTCAAGGATCTTCACAAGGTGCAACTACAACTCTCCACGTCATAGGTGTTCTAAAGGAAATACTCCCTTCTCTTCCTGGACAGGTTTGTGTTACGTGATGTTCATGTACATTTATATGTATTTAATTTCCTAACTCTACAAAATGTTATTCTTGATTGATGATATTGTTACATGTAAGTTACATGTGGAATGCAATTGAATCAATAATTGAATGGCTTAGTGCAAGACTGACGTAAGTGACTTTTTCGGGTGAAAAATGATTTTTTCGTTCAAAAGCGCCCAAATTTTTGCATGTGGTCTCC